AATAGAATAGAATAGAATAGAATAGAATAGAATAGAATAGAATAGAATAGAATAGAATAGAATAGAATAGAATTCTTTATTGGCCAAGTGTGATTGGACACACAAGAAATTTGTCTTTGGTGTATATGCTCTCAGTGTACATAAAAGAAAATATACATTTGTCACAAATCATAAGGTACAACACTTAATGTTAGTCATAGGGTACAAATAAGCAATCAGGAAACAATATCAATATAAATTGTAAGGGTACAAGCAGCAAAGTTACAGTCATACAGTCATAAGTGTATGTGTATATATGATTGCTTGGTTTCACCTGCAATTTCTGTATATCTTTGAACACTACCCAATCATATGGATAACTTAAAAATTCATAAAGTTATAATGTTGATCTTATTATATGATATCCATTATGTTATGTTACATCATATTACGTTACATTGCAAGATTCTATGAAGATTCTAAGAATCTATGAAGATTCCCAGTGATCCATGATATGGTTGTCCCAAAGGTGTGTTTTCCAAGGCAACTGGACTTTGTTTTTCCTTGAAGACATTTCGCTTCTCATCCAAGAAGCTTCTTCCATTCTGACTGAATGGTGGAGGATGGAAGAATTTATATTCCTCGCAGTCATCTGGTCGTTGGCACTCTTTCTGAGAGCCCCTGAGACCACCTGGAGGACCTCAGGGTCACCTGAATAGTGCAAATCGGTATAGAATCTTCTTGGAAGGCTTGGTATTACATTACACAATCATAGGTTGCCCAATGCCCAACAACTTGGGCAGCAAACACAATAATCTTTTCAACAGGACATACCCTTCACTCTGATTTAAAGCTTAAGAGAATAGCCAGGTCTTTCATAGTTCCTTGAATGTCACTAGGGTGGGAATTGTACAGATCTTTGGAGGGATGTCATTCCAAATGAAGATATTGTGACAGGGAAGGAGTTCTTTTTTGGTCCCGCAAGATGGCATTGGGTCAGTGTTATTGATACCCGCATTGCATTTGTGTTGGTACACTAAGACGCTTCTTCCAGGTTGAAAGCATAAGCAAATGGCCAAGGACGTCTGTCAGAATATTCATGAACTGGCAGAGAAATGGTAACAAGGTCAGCCAATGAATAGGCATGGTAACAGGTCAGCCAATGAATAAGCATGGTAACAAGGTCAGCCAATGAATAGGCATGGTAACAGGTCAGCCAATGCTAACTATTTGGTGACTAAGAGCCATGCCGTAGGGCTCGGAGCCTGGGCGTAACCTAACCTACATAACTGAGTCTGTGCAAGAGAATTAATCTAGGCTGCTCTCTGAATTGAAACTGAGACCAATCTCTCCTCTGCCTGTGCTTTGTCTGTAACTACTATTACATTGGAGAATCCACTATTGGTACTGTACATTTACTCATGTATTATTATGTATACAAAGAAGTTAATTAATCCTGTTGAATCAGTTATCTGTGTGTGCTTTCTGGATTTGATTTTTGCAACAAACTCTGACAATGTCGAGTTGGGGATTCCTTTCGTGTCCCCAGCAAAGAGGATAATGCCTCCCCTCTGCCTGACTGCTCTGTGTGAATTATGAATGAGCATAAACAATTGGATACTGGCAGTTCCTCAAATAACATGCCGTATGCCATGATGGACTAGCTGATAACCTGGTGTTGCCTGGGTATTTATTTATAGGGATAAAATGTGTGGACCAAACGTAATTTCAAATGTTGGATTTTCCCCCTTACCAGAGGGAGCCCCCTTGTGGAGTACTGTGAAGCATCACCATGGCAACTCCACTGCACTGTACAGTAGAATCCATTTTAAGGCACAACAGGCTGTATTGTAACAGAACACACATCCCGAGGGGTGTTAGGGGTGTCTTACCCCCACAGTATTTGTTTCCAGAGAGTAAGTCATCTGTGTAGCAAGTTTGGTTGAAATTGGTCAAGGCGTTCCAGAGTTATGTTGGAAAATATACACACACAGCTGTTTTTATATAGATAGATAAACAGTTGGGGTAGTATATGGATAACCTGCACCTTGAATTGCACCTGGAAAGCAACTGGAAGCACGTGCTGTCCCCCAGAGCAGTGGTGTTACTCAGATGAAACACAGATACACTACATACTGAATCAGTTGCAGTTTTTGCAGGGTCCTCAAGGACAGCCCCATGTAGAGCCTATTGCAGCAATACAAATGAGAAGTGACTAAGGCATGGGTGACTGTGAGCAAGGCCTCCCAGCTTTTTCACCTAAGCCGTTAATAAAAATGTGTAAAAATCCAGGGCTAAAACCACTAACTCAAATTTGATGCGGAACAATTGATGAACATGCCTGATGTTATTTTTATTTCAGCTAAATATCCATTTAATTGTTGTGCAATTGGATTCATACTTAACTAGCTTGCTAATCAGAATATCATGGTGTAATTGGCTTGGTTGAAATCAAGGTACATTATGTCTGTAACATTTCCACCTTCTACTAATTGTAATTGTCATTATAACCCAATCATGAAAATGAGGTAGTCTTAGAGAGGCAAGATTCATTTTCCACAAATCTATCCTGATTTCTGTTAATTACCATCTTACTTTCAAAATGATTTACAGAATAGAATTGGAGTTGGAAGGGACACTGGAGGTCTTCTAGTCCAACCTCTGCTCAAGCAGAAGACCCTATACCAGTGGTGGGATTCAAATTGTTTTACTACCTGTTCTATGAGTGTGGCTTGGTGGGCAGCCTGAAGATGTGTCATCGAAACATTGCCAAGACAATCTCAGTCTTACACAGGAAAAGACTCGAATACAAGACCTGCATATATATATATATATATATATATATATATATATATATG